GTGAACCAGCAGATGGAAGACCTCGCTCTCACGCTCTCTCTCAGCCTCTCCTTCTCTCTCTCTATAATTCTGACTTTTTAAAAAAAGGTTTATTTTGTAATTGGATAGAGAAAACCATCAAAATAAGCTAAACAAATCATTGCCTACTAGGATCTTTGAAGTGGGGAGGGGGGTGGGTTTCATTACAGAAAAACCAAAACACATCTTTTGTTAACATCTGTGTCTATAGCATGCAAATGCCAAGAGGAATTCTGGATTTTGTGAAAGGACAATGTCCTCCTAAGGTATTTTTTTTAAAGATTTTATTTATTTTATTTGAGAGTTAGAGTTACAGTGAGAGGGAGAGACAGACAGAAAGGTCTTCCTTCTGTTGGCTCTCCAAATAGCCGCAATGGCCAGAGCTGCGCCAATCTGAAGCCAGGAGCCAGGTGCTTCTTCCTTGTCTCCCATGCGGGTGCAGGGGCCCAAGGACTTGAGCCATTTTCCACTGCTTTCCCAGGCCACAGCAGAGAGCTGGACTGGAGATGGAACAGCCAGAACTAGAACCAGCGCCCATATGGGATGCTGGCACCACAGGCTGAGGATTAACCTACTATACCACGGCACCTGCCCCACATCCTAACGTATTTTAAACATTCTTGGATAACTTTGTGCACTCTGCTAGTTAGTTCAGAGGAGCTACTTTCACTTCAAAAAATCAAAACAAGAATGTCTGTGTTCTACTCTTGGATGTAGATGTCATGGAGCACAGATCAATTAACTATCACCTCAAATGGTGAAAAAGAAAAACAAAAAACAAATGAAATAATACAACTGACCCCTAAATACATCCAGCAGCTGTGGTCATACTAATTATTGTGGCATCATGCTGGATCTGTAAATGTTGCCACATGACCTCTTAATTCCACTGAAGGCAGAAAGACTGAGGGACAGGGAGAGAAAAAGACATGGAAAACATTATCTCCTTGCTCAAGTTCACATAAAAATTTGCATATCTAATTATTCAGTATTAATTGATTTTCCATTAATTTCAAAATCAGGTTTGATCACTTGCAGTCCATTCTATTGGATCATACTACAAACGGTGGTGAATGGAAATTTTATTCCCCAAATTTGCTTGTGGTCAGTTGTTTATAGCTCAGAATGCATTTTTCAAGATTTAAAAACGAACGTGTTTGAAAGAAAGATCATTGGGTTCCCAGGAGCAGTCCATAGGTGCTTAATTCTACACTCCATGTTACAGATTGTATTTCCTGTCTCTACATAATATGCTTCTGAAGAGGAAAAAAAATCCTTAGAATTGTTACTCAGATGCAGGATAAGTATCTCCCCACCTGCAGCCTGGCTGCTTCTATCAAAATTGGCCTATAAACAGGTTGCCTGGAAAACACAACCCGCGGCCGGTGCCGCAGATCACTAGGGCTAATCCTCTGCCTGCGGCGCCGGCATCCCAGATTCTGTCCCGGTTGCTCCTCTTCTACTACAGCTCTCTGCTGTGGCCCGGGAAGGCAGTGGAGGATGGTCCAAGTGCTTGGGCCCTGCACCTGCATGGGAGACCAGGAGAAAACACCTGGCTCCTGGCTTCGGATCGGCACAGTGCACTGGCCGTGGCTGCCACTGGTGAACCAATGGAAGGAAGACCTTTCTCTCTGTCTGTCTCTCTCACTGTCTAACTCTGCCTGCCAAACAAACAAAAAATAAATAAAAGTAAACACAACCCAGCCTTCCCAGAGGTTTCCTAACACCTGACCCTGGAAGAAAGAGGGAACATTCCTTTGAGTCACGTTGGAGGGTAGTGGTGCCTGCAGAGGGCAGTGAGGCAGTGACTGGGTGCTCCCTGAGTGCAGAGTAAGAGGGTGCCTCAAGGTGAGTTGAGAAAACAACAATTAAATGAGCTTTCCTCTTGCACACGAGCTGGGCACTTTAAATAATGTCAGAGGAAGAACAATGCCCCAGAAACACTGTAGGGCTATATTCCAAACAACCGATGTAGGGACCACTGAGATTAATTCAACTCTGGCATTCTATGTAGCCAGCTACAGTTTTTATGTTTGAAACAGTGAGACGTTGGGGCTGGCATTGTGGGCAGCTGTATTTGTGTGCCTGTTCAAGTCCTAGCTGCTCCACTTCCCATCCTGCTCAGTGCTAAAGCACCTGGGAAAGCAGCAGAAGATGGCCCAAGTACATAGGCCCCAGCACCCACGTGGGAGATCTGGATGGAATTCAAGGCTCCTGACTTCAGTCTGGCTCAGTCTTGGCCATAGCAGTCATTTGGAGAGTGAACTAACAGATGGGAGTGTTCTCGATCGTTCTCTCTTTCTCTCTCTCTCCTCCTGTCCCTCTCTCTGTCACTCTGCCTTTCAAATAATAAATAAATCTATATTTTAAAAAAATACACATAACAGTGAAACAGAGCATGGGTCATGACCTTAAAGGTTTTGTTTGGTAGGCTCTGGTTGCCTAAGTTGGAAACTGGCTAAATGATGGATCTTGTTGGTCCTCTAATCTGTTTCCTTCACCTCTATGAAAACAAAACAAAAACAATTTGCCCTGTAATCCTTGTCTCAGAGTCTGCTTCTGTGAGAATCTGAGTAGCAACACATCGCAGTAATCCTGCGATGACTCTGGCTACTGCTGCCCGGCTCCTGGCAGGAGAGTAGGCACATATGGAGCCTCTCTCATCACACTCACCCCAGAGGAAGTCAGTGTGTGGACAGCAGGTTGCTCGGATGCAGGCAGGATTGTATCACATTCATCTGCATCTAGTGAAAGTCCCTGACATAATGGGCCTCTCAACACTACTGCAGTTACAAATAACAGAGCTGACTCCGGAGGTCAAAGGGAGCAGACAGAGGCGGCCTTGTGTGTTTTCCTTTGCTGACTCTAGTAGTCCTGACACAGCGAGCTAGTCATTAGGCCCACAATGTCGGGGTGGGCGGTTTCCAAACAGAAAAAGATCTCTGATGCAGAGAGGGAATTAAAGGGATGAGGAGACCCCCGGGGCAGCCGAGGGAGCGTCTGCAGCCCTCGGAGGAGGTGAAGGTTCTCTGGGAAGACTCCTATATTAGGATCCAAGAAGGAGGTGACAGCCATTCACCTCCTTCAACTCCCTGGACTCCTTCCTGCCTTATTTTTTCTCCTGATTTTTATAATGACACACTTTCAGTTTATTTTATAATCACCAGCTTAACCCTCTGCTAAATAAAGAATTCAACAAATAGAAGAAAAAAATTGTTTCTCAACAGTAGAGATGAAGGCTGTAAATAATAATCAAACCTCAAAATGTCAGTTTCATTCATATACATTACATTCTTTTGATGTTTCTGATAAGAATTCAAGGACTCTCAAATTCTTGATAAATGAACCCTGGCCTCAAAGGGCATGGTTTATTTGATCCCTCCTCAAAATGAATGTGTTTTTTCATCACTACGAAAAAAGATCAAGAATTCTTGAGGAATAAGTGGACTTCCCATGATGTGCACATACACACAAGCCTCTTACATACAGTAAGAAATGGATTTGCACAAGTAAACATGTGGCAAATCTGCATAGTGCGGATTCTGACTTGGGGCCAGATGCTTTTCTGTTTCTCAGTCCCTGAACTCATGAACTCTTTCCAGCTACAGCTAATGTTATATGCTAGAGGGAAGATATGTGCTGAAGGAATTGTTCTCTATCTGCAATTACTCCCTGGAGTCTTGAAGTCAATATTTGCAAATTACTAGTACAGCAAATGACTGGTCAGTGACTCAACATACAGCTGCAGTATAAGCTCGGGGCATGATTCACAAATGATTCATCTTCTATCATAGCTGCTGACAGAATCTTGGCAATGAACCCTGTCTCTCAGAGGAAAGTTCAGCTTGGCAACGACACTGGTCTTTAGAGAAAATCTGGGGTGTGTGTGTGTGTGTGTGTGTGTGTAGGGAGAGAGAGGTATGTGATATTTTTGTACACATAATACATATCCATTATATCTATACATACATATATATACACAGGGCGTGTGTTTTAGTGAAAGATACACACAGACACACACATACCCAACAAAAAGAACAGCTGAATGGCCCAAAAATATATTGGGAAAGCAGTTTATTCTGGCATGTTTGTGTTTCAGTATATTCTGCTATTAAAATTTGGAGTTTGAGACTGGGCTTAAATCATGGTTCTATCACTTACCTGGTCATGTATTCTTTCTTATCTGAATCTCATTCAAATGAAAAATAATGACTTTAAGTTGTTGGGAACAGAAAATCTAACATAATGCACTTTAAAAAGCTCAAGAAAAATGCAATTAGAAGATAAGCTTATATTGGTGCAAAAAATTTGGAAATCTATACATACAGGTGATTTTCAAAAAGTTCATAAAAACCCCATTCATAGGTTTCAAAATTTCTTGCACCAGAATAGATTCATCTTTTAATTCCATCTCTATTAACTCTTTGAGAACCCTCAAGTTCCATGTAAAGACCATACATCAGTCGCTCAACTGCTGTGTGTAATATAGACTTTCTTGACTTTACTGGTCTTCATCACACAGACTTATAACACAGATAATATGATTTGATATAATTATCATAATAGAGGGGTTTTAACCAAAAGGGTGTGTGGAGTTACGCAGCCATATATTGCAGCAATATTATGGTACAATTCTAGGATACTTCCTGTAGATGTGAGTGCACAGAAATACATAAACAATATAGGAATTATGAAAATGCAAAACGCACTTGAGAATTTTATCTTATCATATCTCCTGACGTTAAGTAACGCGCACTCACACACACACACACACACACTCCATGGCCTGCAAGCCCTGGAAATCGTTCCCTGCCATAAATGACACTTGGCTTGTCACTTTTATTTTTTAATGATTAATGAATTCCATGTAATAATTGCCAGTTTTTCGCCACCCCCTTGTCCCCTGCTGCAAAATATCTAATCTATTCAGAGGAAGATAATTGCAGAGCTGTTGAGACAGAAAAGAAATTGCTGCATCTCACCACTGTTGTGCGCCTCCAGCTGTGAGGCGGAGTTGACAGCAACCTTGCATAGCGAACAGTAAAGGAGCCGTTTTGCCTTCTCTTCCTCCGTCTCCGTGGAAGGACATGAGCTATTGCCAGTGGCTGTCGTGGGGCTTTTTTCCACTTTAGAGGTGATCTCAGTTGTCATAACACTGCTTTTGCGGATTTCCACAGTTGTCGTCGTTGATATTGCTGGTGTCCCTGCGGTACTGTCTGCATTCAAAATAGCACAAGAAAGGAGAGGGGGACAATGGCATTAGTTTCCCTATTTGGAAATGTATCACTAATACTGGATTCTGCTAATAATGTTAAGAATAGCTTGCAACTGCTGCTTGTCAACCTTGTATCAATCACTTCATAAGGAAATTTATAAGCTGACCACACCTAATTCACATATTGAAATAAAACATTCAAACAATTCTTCAAAATATGCACAAAGAGTATTTACAAATAATTTGTGGGGTAAATAAATATACCCACAAATTTCTCTTGTTAACATGTGGCCTTAATAAAATAATGGTTACAATGTATTATATGTTGTATAATGTATTTCTACAAAGATAGGTTTTTAAAATTATCATAGAGGATAAATGCTTTTAATACATTTTTTCTTTTTCCTTACTACTTGTCTATTTGACTTCTAAATTCCATCTGTTGAATGAAACACAAGTAAAGATACTTTTGTATTTGCTTATGAAAAACATATGGGACTCTTAATGTCACAATTGCTTTGTCTAGATCAGCAGTTCAGAAAATCATTACTCTATCGGGAGTTATAATTCAACACTAGGCACAAAAATCATCAATATCAAAATTACATGAATTCTAGTTCGGAATGTTTATTAAATATGTTCTTTATCAGGCTGTGTACGAGAAGTTGCTGGTACAAATACCCAAATAGCCACAATTCACCAGGAATTCACAGACTGATCATACCATGTTAACATCACATCATTCCAAGAATTTGATGACCAGGAAATTGTTGATGCACTGTAACCCTACAACCTCCTGGCTCCAAAGTCTGATACTGAATCTGGAGAGATTAGCCTTCAAAGTGAAACTACTCTGACCTAACTTCACTTGGGTTCACACAGCTCTCCTCCCAAGGACGCCAATCACCATGTCAGTGATGTTTGCCAACCCCAGTAATGGATTTCAGATAAGCCCTACACTCAGATCCTACCTACTCTTAATGTTCTTATTTGTGACCCTCAATTGGTTCCTTATCGCCCTATGCGAACTTTTCCAGCTGCAGCTGCACTTGGAACTGTCATTCCATATGTCATTCTAAGTGCTGTTACAGCTATTTAAGGACGCACTGAAATGTGCTTGGTGCATGGGTTGGCCAGCGGATATAAAGAACAGTGGCATGCCTGCAAGGAGGTGTGGTCTCCATGAACACTTGCTTCTCATTAGCTCGTATTATGAAGGGTTGACTGCAGGTACAGGCTGCCTTTTACCTCGGGTGTCCCCTTTGGTACAGCTGTAGGGGTGGGAACACAGGAAGAGGTCCTGTATCGCCACATTCCTACATATAAAGTAAGAAATAAGAAGAGACACGGGCCTTTGGGAGGGGCTGCTGTACAAAAGGATTCATCTGGATCTCGCTTCCTTCACCAGACACTTCACACACCCTTAATCACTCATTTAGCTGGGAAGATCGTAAGTAAGTCTCAGTCATTGTTATAAAAAATATTTACCAATCATGTTTAAAAAAAATCACACCGAAAATTAGTGTCTCATCACTAGAAAAAAATACAATTTCGTTAATGCCAAGTTTTGCTATTTTTATGCATTTATTCCCTTGGACACTGAAGTTTTACTTGCCTGCTAACTTTCCATTATTAAAACATCACATAACACCCAGATATCTCTGAAAATCCAGAGATGGCAGAAAAATATTACAACTTTAAGAGGGTCCTTTAGTTGTTAACTGTCTCCAGTAAAACAAATGATTTTTTAAATATATATGTGTATGTGCCTATGAATGGTTAATAAATGACCATAGCAGCAAATTAAAAAATCATGCTTACAAAATAACCTAATTCAGCCTTCGCAGCTGTAAAACAGGAAATTCCAGAACGTAAGGAAATTTCCCAAGGTCAGACAAGAAGTTTATAGGAAGTCTTCAAAAAGTTCAAGGAAAATGAATATAAAGAAAAACCTGCATAGATTTCAAAATTATTTTGCAGCAAAATAAACTTATCTTTCAATTCCATTTTCCATAAACTTTTTGGAAGCACCCTTGTAGAGTGAATCAGGGCAAAATATTTCATGGAATCAGGAGTTTGGAAAAAAAAAAAATGCTGTGAATGATGCTCTTGGCCATGACTGATTCTCCACAGTAAGGTCAGAAGCAGCAGTGGGCTAAAACCACTGAAGTGTTCTTATAAGCAGCTGTATGGGGAGTGACAAGCGTAAACACAGATATTATATTTAATCTCAGTGTGGCCACACACTGAAGCCACAGTGTGATGCAGTGGGTATTTATTTCATTGAAAGCTACCATGGTAAAGATTTTCCTAGTAATACCTGCCTTCTAATAACTTTCCTTCTTGACTGACATGTTTATTTTATGTCATGATCTGAAAATGGCACATGGCATAGATCACAGTAATCCTAAGCGAATTTTCCTATTTATGGTGAAATTTGTTAGCAAAAGTATAGAATAAACAAAACTATGGATCTTCCAGTCTCTGTGACAGCTTTATTAGTGTTTCTCCTGACCCCAGAGGATAATGTACATTTATACCAAAGACGCCGTAAGATTAGAGACATCAGATTCCTTTTGCCGATGGCTTAGTCAAACACTGACATTCCTTAAGGCAAGTTCCTTGAGTGAGACAGGCTTAGGGGAATTAATATAACAAACTGCTTAACATCCAGCGCTTCTACTGTGTGGTATAGTAAGCACAGATATGTTATGTTCTAAGCTTGCAGTTAAGCTGAAAGAAACTCAAAGTTGCAGCTTTCATTTTAAATTTAATATACAGACCTCGACTCCTTAAAGGTAGGATTACAAAACCTTATAACCAGACACAGATTTTTCATCTATTTGTCAGATGAGTGATAAAGGGGCTCTTTTGAAACCAAAAAAGTAAGGTAAATATATTTGAAGATTGTGCCTTATTCAAAGAAAACTGACTGCTCTATATATTGTACACAAAGGCACATACAGCAGATTTCCCTTAATACGGTTCATTCAACGACCATTTACATACCATGCTTACCCACTCATTAAACTAGAACCTTAAATGTGTGATTATGTTAACAACATGTTTCTTTTTTCTTTAAGATTTTATTTATTTATTTGAGAGTTAGAGTTACAGACAGAAAGAGGAAGTCACAGAGAGTTTCACTACCCAAATGGCCATAATGTCCACAGCTGGGCCGATCTGAAGCCAGGAGACAGGAGCTTCTTCCAGGTCTCCCACGCAGGTGCAGGGGCCTAAGCACTTGAGCCATCCTGTACTACCTTCCCAGGCTATAAGCAGACAGCTGGATCTGAAGAGGAGCAGCCAGGACAAGAACTGGTGCCCATATGGAACGCGGGAGCCACAGGCGGAGGCTTAGCCTGCTACACCACAGTGCCGGCCCTGTGTCCCTTTCTTTGATACGAAGTGATAAGAATTATCTCTGTGGTTCCCTCTCACCCTGTCCTAAGTGCCCATAATTCCTGTCTAGGCATTAGAATAAGATAAGTAAACTTAAATTTAAGGACCAGTTTAGGGAAGCCAAAGAAGGCACAACTAACTGTTATGTGGGATCCTGGAGAGAGAGAGAGAGAGAAAAAAAAAAAAGGACATCAGATAAAAACTTAAGAACCCTGAATATGTATGGGTTTTAGTCAATAATAACATATTGCTAATGGTTCATTAGTTGTGACAAATGTACCATAGTACGGTGAGATGTTAACAATAAAGGGGGACGGCACTGTGGTGCAGCAGGTTAAAGCCCTGGCCTGAAGTGCCAGCATCCCACATGGGCGCTGGTTCTAGTCCCAGCTGCTCCTTTTCCAATCCAGCTCTCTGCTATGGCCTGGAATAGCAATGGAAAATGGCCCAAGTCCTTGGGTCCCTGTACCTACATGGGAGACCCAGAAGAAGCTCCTGGCTCCTGGCTTAAGATCGGCACAGCTCTGGCCGTTGCAGCCATCTGGGGAGTGAACCAGCAGATGGAAGACCTCTCTCTCTGTCTCTACCTCTCTCTGTAACTCTGTCTTTCAAATAAATAAAATTAAATCTTAAAAAAATAAAGGAACTATGTGTAGGGTATAGGTTATATTACACTTTTTTATAAATAAAAAACTTTAAAAATTAAGGTTTATTAAATTTAAGAAAAATAGAATTATAGTCAGTCAACAAATAGTTCCTCATTTGAATTGCAATGGCCTAGTGTGGTTTTATTAGTTTTCTTGATTCTTAATGAAGTTTCACTAAATTTTTCAAGGTCACGGGGCCAGCACTGTGGTGTAGCAGGCACCAGTTCTAGCCCCAGCTGCTGCACTTCTGATCCAGCTCTCTGCTGTGGCCTGGGAAAGCAGTAGAAGATGGCCCAACTACCTGGGCGCCTGAACCCACATGGCAGACATGGAAGAAGCTCCTGGCTCCTGGCTCCTGGCTTCGGGTGGGTGCAGCTCTGGCCATTGAGGCCAATTGGGGAGTGAACCAGTAGATGGAATACCTCTCTCTTTCTCTGCTTCTCCTTCTCTCTTTGTGTAACTCTGATTTTCAAATAAATAAACAATTCTTTAAAAAAAATTCAAGGTCATAAAAATGCTCTAAAATAGAAATTTCGACTTGACATTTCATATCCTAATTCCAAGACTAGTGTTTGTCTTCCTATATTGCAATGACTCAAACTTCATTCCATCAGCATTTATTAAACAGCTATTTTGTGTTAAGTTCTATTCTAAGCCACTGGGAATAAGAAAGCTGGTAAATATAGATCATGCACTTAGTGGCAAAGTAGTTTATGAGACAACCTGAAATGACTTGAAATAATAATGTAATTATAACTCAGTAACTCTTAATCTGGCTTTGTTGCTATATGCTTGCATTTATACTTGACATGGACTAGACACTCAAAAAATATTTATTAAAAGAAACTATTAAAGCACTTACAGATATGAAGTCACAGAACGCCTCTAAAACTCAAGAAGTGCATATTATTTTTATCCCGACCTAAGAAGAAATTGAGGTATGCAGAAATTT